GAGCGAGTACAACTTTTGTACGCAACCAGTACAACTTTTGTATGCAACCAGTAGTGCGCAACTTAAGAAACTTTTGTACCCAACCAGTATAACTTTGTACGCAACCAGCTTACCCATTGTACGAAACCAGTACAACTTTTGTACGCAACCACTAGACCCTTTGTACGTAACAAGCTTACCCAGCTTACGCAACCAATACACCCTTTCTTGGCAGCAAGTACATCCTTTGTACGCAACCAGTACAAGTTTATTACGCAGTGAAAACAATCAAACAATCAACTTTGTGATAAGTTATTGGACGCGAATTGAATTTTGGGTAACAATTGATAATTCGCAGTTGACTGGAAGGTACCCGAGATTAAAACGCCATTCGTCAATACTGCCAGTGTTTCTAGCTTTTTATGGCTTTTAGTCTTTTTCCATTCTTATTGTTTCCACTATGGTTTGGCTTATTGATGAATTTAATAAGTTTTTATCACGCCGTATAAAAGGTATTGTGAAGAGGAAACAAAAAGCGGAAACAAAGAAAAGCCCATTCAAACCATTGAAATAAAAATGAAAACCCGTTTTGAAGCTCTAATTATATTCAGGTTTGATTGTAGATTCAAAAACGTTAAAATGATTTTAATGGTTTTTTGAAAGGAAGTTAAGATTTTATTAAACGGGGAGAAATTAAGACGTAAAACTCAATTTCCTTTGATAGTGATAACGCCCCACTTTCAGTTTGAATACGTTGTAATAGTTGTCAAAGGTTTAATTGAAAAGAGGGCGTGAAACTCCAATACTTTTGAAAGCTTTAACTCATTCAGGTGCCAATTGTGGCTATGAATGGAAGACGGTTAAGAATCAATCAAGTTTTTTTTAAAATAAAAAGAAAGGATATAAATCTCCATTTTTTTATTTTGATGGAGCGTAGTCAATATTTTGACTGTTATCAAATTAAAAGTGGGCGTGGTATATGGAAATATGAAATAGGTGGCATCTGTAAGGCTAGAAGATAATTATATGATTCATCAAGAAAGACAACTCCTCTTAGCTTAAAGCACAGGGAGAGATAACTCTATCTAGGTCAGAGATAAAGAGATACAACTCTGTTATCATAACGTTAGGTAATTCTATATAACACCATATTCAGTTAAAACCACTAGCAACGACAACTCTTGTTTTGTTTAAGGGCTGAAGAGAGACAACTCTGTTTTTTTAGGCATAAAGAGAGACAACTCTTGTTTTGTTTAAGGGCTGAAGAGAGACAACTCTGTTTTTTTTAGGCATAAAGAGAGACAACTCTTGTTTTGTTTAAAGGCTGAAGATAGACAACTCTGTATCGTTCAAGGCTTAAAGAGAGACAACTTTTGTTTAAGGGCTGAAGAGGGACAACTCTGTTTCGTTCAAGGCTTAAAGAGGGACAACTCTGCTTTGCTTAAACCAAGAAAAAAGTTGACCCTAGTCTTTTTTTCCAATCGAAAATACCATTCCTGAAGTCACCTATATAGAAGCTCTTTCTTTGAAGGATTTGTTTTTATGAATCTTCCTTGTACCGCTCTATATAAGAAATCGTTAAAAAATCAAAATAGCTATTGAGGATAGTTCTGGGTCTATATTGAACACAAAGACGACAATAAACCGTGGATGTTATCGACAAATTGTAAGAAAAGAGTCCACAAGAATCAAAACAAAGGTCGATATAATCTATATCCGATCAGAAAGATCATACAGTCATGGAGATTCCGAAAAGAGTCTCGACTGAAATTAGTCCTGAGCAAACCGGCAGAGGGTCCTGGGGATTTTAGAGAGATATAAGTAAGCTGAGAGCGAACGTTAATTTGTCATCTACCAACCATCCAACGGACAGACGAACCAACCAGGACCGTATCCGCAATAAGGTACAGAACAGTAGGATATAAAACTCTATTTTATTTCATTAGCCCAATAAGATACAGAACAGTAGGATATAAAACTCTATTTCATTTCATTAGTCCAATAAGGTAAGAACAGTAGGATATAAAACTCTATTTCATTTCATTAGTCCAATAGGGTACAAAAAAGTGAGGCATCAAAACACCATTCCTTTCAAAGTTATTTCACGACAATCGAAATACGGTATGAAATTGTCGATTGTCGTACTTATTGACACTATAGTTTAATTAAAAAGGCTTTGTCCACTTCTATAGAAGTTAATGTGTTTAATTCTAAAGCCTGTGAATGGAGCTAGATTTGATTGTTTTATAAACCAAATTAGAACAAAGAATATAATTAATAGAAAAACCTTTTATTATCAAAACGATTTTTGTACCGTGTATCGATTTGAGTAAAGCAAACAGTCGGATTTCAAGTCGGTGATTTGATTTGGTTTTGTTTATAGTCTTGGAAATGAATTGAGTTTTACATCCTACTGTATTTTGTATTCTGTATATTTGTACGGTGTAAGCCTATCGATTCGCTTAAAGCAAACAGTCGGATTTCAAGTTGGTGATTTGATTTGGTTTTGTTTATAGTCTTGGAAATGAATTGAGTTTTACATCCTACTGTATTTTGTATTCTGTATATTTGTACGGTGTAAGCCTATCGATTCGCTTAAAGCAAACAGTCGGATTTCAAGTTGGTGATTTGATTTGGTTTTTGTTTATAGTCTTGGAAATGAATTGAGTTTTACATCCTACTGTATATTGTATTCTGTATTTGTACGGTGTATCGATTTACGTAAAGCCAATATTCGGATTAAAACTTGGTGATTTAATCTATTTTTTTAAGTCGTGGAAATAAAAAAAATTCAGGGAAAGGATTTTTCCGTCCGTTTTTTTCTTGTATTTTTGTGGATTTAACGATTGTCTACATTCGGATTGTTGCTTCGAAAATTAAATAAAAGTTTTACGTCATATTTTTCTACAACTTCTAGCTCCCATGGAGGCTGATAACGCCATGAAGTGTACAGCGAGGGAAACGGAGCAGCGAAAGAGAGTACATACAAGATTGTAATCAAAGTAGAACGTAGAAACTCCTATCAAAGCCATATAAAGCGATTTAAATCATAATGTTAGTTTGAAAAATAATTGCTGGCAACGACATTCAGTGTACAACGGGGGAAACAAGATAGCGTGTGCTAAGAAATGAATGCAGAACGGAGAAAAGTCATTAAATTTGATACAAGTCTGATAAACATGAAAATTGTCCAGGTGGCTGTACATGGTTTTACCACTTCTAATTCAACAGAATTTGAAAAATCGGAATTACAAAAAAATACGATTGCATAAACGTCTTAAGTGCAGAGGTCAATTTAGAAAACATATAAATTATGAAATTAAAAAACACACCAAATAATATAAGATAGTCCAGGTGGTCTCAAAATCGTTCGTTTACATTCAAAACTTACTTAAACAGAATTAGGGTGAAAATTGAACGGTTTATATCATTAAATTGGAGGGGAAAAAATCCATAGAAAATGGTTTTATCATTCAAATGTTGATAATATCAACCATTTCAGATGTGAAGGGAATAATTTCAATAATTATATTTTGGAAAAAATGTATTTAAAATCTGTATGCACCATTTAAGTCATCAAAATTTAAAAAAAAAAACATTTAAAATGTATTTGGTCGATTTAAATAATTATAATTTGAAAAAAGATATTTTAAATGCGCCAGGGCCATTTAAATCATCAAAAATATCATTTAAAATTTCTTAGTGCGATTTAAATCATTATATTTTAGAAAATAATAGCTTTTAAATATGTATAGCCAATTCTTTTTTAGTCCAAAAATGTAACAAAGGCGGTTTTTGGTACCTAAATTAGTTTTTTTTTTACCAAATAAAAATAAGAAGCACAGGAAGCAAGATTCGAACGCACTGATAAGCATCGTTACAACTCACACGACGCGTTCGAGAATTATTACGTTCACGTCAACGGAAACATTACGTCGGTCGTAAAACCTCATAAACAGTCCGTTTGCAAAACAATGACACTTTTTTGAAAATTTTTATGGCGATTTGTAGAAGAGATAGGTTCCAAAAGGCGTAGATAAATTTCATGGAATTTTGAAAGTCTTATCTGCGGCCATTTATCTCGTGGAATGGAGCAGACGTCTTCGTCGGCAGTTTAGGTCAATTGAAAATTCAAGAATGGTAAACATAATCTTAAATATGAAACGCATATTTAAACATGAAACGCTTCGTTTCGTTATATATGAAACGAAGCATTGAATTTGTAGCATTCCGCTGTTCTCCTCGTTTAACGCTTGTTATTTGACGAACACACACAGACCCAGTGATTGACATCCGCCGGTTTATTCCATCACATCGCATTTCAAACTTGTCTTAATTGTTTTCACGAAATATTTACTTCGTTTCTTAATTTATATACCACAGTTTAGTTATGTACGCAGCCATTCCACACACGTACCACACAATGTCTTATCTCCGATCTCCAAGACGTAAATTTCATTACTCTCTGTTAAAATTCTGGATGATCCATTCTTCTCTAATAAATAGCATACATTTCTGAAAATGTTTCTTTCCTTTTGGTGTTGTTATCGGGTCGGGATTTTCTAACCCACCCAAAACTGTTGTTTTTGTACGGTGAAACGAAATGTGACCTCCCCAATTAACACATCATTGTAAGAGAAATATTAGTAAAAAATAGTTTATGTTTGACAGACCTTCCTAACCCCTGAAAGGTCATTTGCCATATTTGTTAATGTTACTTTTGTTACAGCTTTTCTGAAAATTTAGGAATCATACCAAGTTCCGCAAAAATTCTTTGGCCATCTCTATGCTTTAGTACCTAAAGTGCTTACAAGTGTTTGTATTTTCGGTTCAAATTTCGATGATATCTAATGTACAAATTAGGTGTTCAATAATTTACCAAACCGCAAATTTACAATGTTATTAGCTTACCAATTTACAAATTTACATGCTTACCAATTTACAAATTTACATGCTTACCAATTTTCAAATTTACATGCTTACCAATTTACAAATTTGTATGCTTACCAATTTACAAATAATTATGCTTAACAATTTACAAATTAGTATGCTTAACAATTTACAAATTTACATGCTTACCAATTTACAAATTTACATGCTTACCAATTTACAAATTAGTATGCTTAACAATTTACAAATTAGTATGCTTAACAATTTACAAATTAGTATGCTTAACAATTTACAAATTTACATGCTTACCAATTTACATGCTTACCAATTTACATGCTTACCAATTTACATGCTTACCAATTTACATGCTTACCAATTTACATGCTTACCAATTTACATGCTTACCAATTTACATGCTTACCAATTTACATGCTTACCAATTTGCAAATTTGTATGCTTAACTATTTACATGCTTAACAATTTACAAAAAAATTGTATGCTTGACAATTCACAAATTTGCATGCTTAACAATTTACAATTATACCTGCTTACCAAAGTATGCTTAACCATTTACATGCTTAACAATTTAAAAAAAATCAATGCTTAACAATTTACAAAATTCGTAATTATTATATCATTATTACCCCCCGACACTCCACCCGTTATAGTCGACCTCCCCTACCTAGACCAACGTATACCCATCTCCTTACAGCGATAATGAAACAACCATAACAAAAGCCTTTATATAATGTAGTTGATAAAAGCGAGAATTGTTTGGCTTTATGTATAGTTTTCTATAGATTTGTTAAGGCTTTATTAATAGTTTATTCTTTATCTAACTATTTATATCATGATTTTATTGTAATGTAGTTGTTTCAGAGGGTTATTAGGTATTTTACGTGCTGTACGAGTTTAGGCGTTGGTTTTGGACTTTGGTTTTGGACTTTGGTTTTGGACTCTGATTTTGAACTTCGGTTAGCTCAAGCAAATATGCTGCTTGCAACCTTCGGACCAAATGGATGCTAAATATTTCCGTTTAATTGTAGTCTATTGGTTAAGTATTTTTGACGAGTCTGGGCGTTAGTGCTTGGTCTTATAGTTCGCTCTAGCAAAGATGCTGCTTGAATCTTTCCGATTAAATGGAAATTAATTAAGTTTTTTCACGAGCTTGGGAGTTGGCAGTAGCTTGCTTTAGTATCGATCGTTTCCGGATAAGCATTGACTCATATTCAAGAAATCCAGACAAGTTTTTAAATTATTTCGTTTTTTAAAGAAAACTCAAGAAAACTCAACAATTTGTTTGTATCCGTATATTCACTAAGCATTGTTTGTACGATACTAATTCAGTAATTAAAAATGCTCATAAAACAAATTATCCAAATTATCTGCAGTTTTAAATCTCATAAATTAGGCCTCGATATAAAAGACATTCGTCAGATAATGACGACCCCTATTACTAATAAATTGAAACAAGTCTTTAATTTGACGAACAACCGTCGTAATCGGCGCATTAAATCACAATCTAGGCTCGTAATGACTCTGGCGACCGTCACTTTTTAAATTAATGAGAATTGGCTCCTATTCTATCGCCAGCTGAAGCCTGTCACGGTTGACAACAGGCAGACCATAACAGTCCCCCTTTTAAAGTCGCTGCTTTCATTAAAAAAAACCACGTTTATTTCTGTGTAGTGCAAGGTGGCTTGCTCCTTCCGGAGAAGAAAACCTAACAATTATCAAGTCGCTGTTCTTGTTACGAAAGAGCTCTGGAGGACAATTCACACTGCAGAATTCTAGATTATCCGGTCACTTCATTATGTAAGAAAAGGTTTGATAAGTACACTAGTTCGGTGTGCATAATGCCCATTCGTGTGGAACCCCAATAATAGTCATCGTCTATAAGTGAGCCCAACCACATGGTCAACTGATCTTTTCTTTGTTAGTCGTGATTTCAACATTACATAAGCATAATTAACTTAACTAATCGCGTCTACTTTACACCCAAACGTTACCAGGCAGCATGATCGAGTCTACCAATTTCATAAGCATAACATTAGAACATTAACATATATCTCATCTAAAAATATTAAAACAGAACCTAAAAAAAATGTTGTTGTTATTCAGCGTTTCACGCTGTGTGATCTTCAGTTAACTCTCATGTAACTAAACTGATCGCGTCTACAAAACACCCAAACACTCAACTATTCCAGACAGTATAATCGAGTCTACCCTCTTTGTGGCGTAACAACTGAAACGCATTCTAATGTGACGAAATGACTCTATGATAACAATTAATACAATAAAATAATGAAAAAGAGCAAACGAGTGGAATTGGTGATTTAAATCTGAAACATAAATCATACAAAAAGAAGTTTAGGACCATAATATCACATCTGCTTTCATAGTCTCGTTCAGACGAGCTTTCAAGTTTCGCTTTTTACCTCTGACTTTGTCATTCAATTGTGCATTGTAATGGCTGTGGTGCGGTTGTTTGATTACACAAGAAAGTAGTTCAATGATAATCGTTCTGTGTTCCGTTTATGTTCTGATGCTTTTCTCTGTCGAAGAATATGAAGCAGACGTAAAACTCCATTTTCTTCAAATTTCCTTTGATTCACAGATTACAACTTGTATCTAAAATGCAGATCTTGGTTTGTTTCGTTTTCTTTCTGCGATTTACTTCCGTTACCATCTATGATCTGATGAAATTGTCTTAGCCAACGAGTTCTAGATCAGTAAAGTATTTAACCAATCAAATGCTTTGTTCAATAAATTGAATTCCTCCGCTGGAAACGACCAAGCCTCAAATTAATCTTAATAAGTTCAATGCCGGTGGGAGGATAGGACGTAAAACTCCATTTCATAAAGCTATAGAGCCTAAGGAAGTAATAATTCACAGTCACAGATGTATTATGTTTCATCGTTTAGGGAAATTCCCCTAATATTTACGTCTATGAAGAGAAACTAGGCAAATTCCTCGGTCAGAAACTAAAGAAGGTCCCTAGCTGATCGTGGTTCAGATTTCAATGCTTAATATCGGCATGCTGGGACGTAAAACTCCATTTCAATTGGCGACAGACGCCTCCTCCCCAATTCCTTTCTGTACAGAGAAAAAGGGGAAGAAATTAGGCAAATTGCTCCGCTAACAACGACCAAGTCTCTCGATGACCGTAGTTCAGATTGTAATGTTTAATGGCGGCGGTATAATTGACTATAACAAGACGTTAACACAATACATGTATAATAGTTTCCATTATAAAGAAAATAATCCATATACAGCTTATTCTATTATCAACATTATAATGCCCGACTGAAGCCACGGAAAGCTCAATTGACTAACGACAATAGGACTAAGTGAGGACACGTATCGTCAATGAATAGACGTCATTGTGTATGATATAATAGAAAATTGAAGACAAATACTATACATTGAGCTCCTATCGACATCCATTCATCGTCCTTTGTGCGTTCATACTTCCACTATTGTCTGATAACGTAATGAAATCATCGCCAAGTCCATTCAATCTGATTTCGGCATTGTTCACAAGAAAATTGAAAATCATTGAGTCCCCATTCACCGCTATTCATACTGTATTCAAATACACTGCTTTATTCTTTGTTGTTTCAAAGGCAATGTACTCAATCCTTTTCAGTCGCGAGTTCTTTCTACGTGGCTGCACCTTAAAGACGTGCTCAGTCAGCCCTGGCTTATTTTTCCGGCTTGACTCTACGAATTTAGTCCGAATTATCTAATCTGACAACCTCATGTGGAATTCACTACCATCCCTACTAAATTTCTTGTCAAGGCAGTATGTTCAAAGCAGAAAGGGAAATAAATCTTCAAGAGATGAAACCGGAAGTTAAAATGTTTGCTTTCGGTTGCATCATGTTGGTATATCTTCGGAAGGGTAATTTTTGTATCAGACCCAGATCTTTTTGCTAGTATTCAGCGAAATATTTAAACAATATCTTTCAAGTGGGATAACTCTGTATTACTTCGTGATGACCTAGAACCGCAAACCGGAAGTGAAACCATGAGATTATAATCTCAATATGAAATAGCCATTGGGGCTGTGGTTCCGATCTAATTATTGGTTTTGCTGCTTTTTGTTTATGGAGTTCGTCAAGGTATTAGCTTCAACACAGAAAGGACCATAACTCTTTAGATGGTTGTTTCCATCAGATTCTTTTTCAAAAAAGAGAGACCCCAACTTCAAATTACGCAACTGACTTTCCACAACAGGTAAACATCCATCAAATGAATAGAAAAGCAAAACAAAGGATCGAGCATTAAAGACTTTTGTTTTCAGTCGCAAATTATTTCTGTTTGCATGCATTTCAATACTTTAATACAAAACTCTTTGAATTCCTATAGAAATCAGCACCAAAAGATATACCGAATGCCCCTTTCATGACAGTTCGGAAACAATGAGTGCAGTGGCTAAAAATGGTTTGCTGTGTACAAAACCGTGTTGACTTGTGAATTAATACAGACGAAAGAGGCATAAAAGAACAGGGGTAAAATCGGTAAAAGCCAGTCGATGGATTTTGTAAGGTTGTCAGTACGGATGACATGTTGGTTGGTGGATATGGATCTAAGATTTTGCCCTCACTAGAGTGCAGTGGTTTGCAATTTATCTTTGTGACATGCGACATGGCGAAAAGGCGTAGGGAATCAATTTTGAGTGTGTTCTTCTAGGCCTGATGGTTAACAGGCACAAAATGGGCTTCATTAAAATTACGGATTACAATGTTTAATGTAACGGAACGGAACTATTGAATATGGAAGCATATTCCATGACGTAGATATGATAGAATCTTTTTTATCCTTGTAAAACTACATTTTCTACATACCGATAAACTTTAATCTGGATGATGAAAAAAAAAGGTTAAAATAGTAAAAAAACTAATCAAAAAATGTGATTCGGATACAGTCTTCAGCCATCGGGCGGCCAAATTTCATAATTTGTCATTGAAATAACCGCATGACAAACTAAGCAATCAAAAAGGGCAAAAAATTCAAATTTAGGCTCCTGTTTTTGTCATATTGTCAGATCACGACACAGCTTTGTGTCTTCTTCAAAGGCTAGTTTAAAAATATGGAGTACATTATTGAAGACTTGAAAAGATTTTTTTTCTAAACAGAAAACGAAAGAATGTGCTACATTGAAATTTATCCGTTTTGTTTAATGTTTTTCTGTGTTTTTAGTATTGCCTTGTGTTATGCATTCACAAGAATAGAATGTAAAAAAATGGTAATTGAAGAAAACTAGAAAACGAAAATAAGTCGAATAGACTGTGTTGATAGAGAAACCCGAGGTGTCAGCAAAAATCTGAACCAGAGAAAAACGGAAAACGAAAGATGTCAAGCCGCGATGGGTCTCTTAATTATATCTATTGAAGTTTTTCTAAAGTCCATCACTCATCAATTTAGCGTATAATATATCCCACATAAACATGCCTT